TTCATTCGTGATAGTTATATCAAATCGCTTATAGACACGCCGTGTATATTAAAAGAATTTTCAACTCGCGCATTCTTGGACGATATTCAAAAATATTAAGGAGCGTTAAAAAATCTAGAAATAAGAATTCAACAAAATCCATCGACTCGTGGATGCATTTTTTCGGCATTCTACTTAAGGACAAATTCACTAATAGTCCACGCCAACGATGGGACGCGTACTCCAACAATGAAATAAATCATGTCGATTTTAAATAGAAAAGTTTTACTCGAAAACATGCGATCTCAGCAAGCTACTATCAAAAATCCTTCACCAAATAAATTAAAATCGTCGAAAATGGCTCAGTATTCGCGAAATCAACAAACTACTTCACAAAATAGTTGTATTTTTTGTGAAGGTGAGCATTATGTAAATTCCTGCAGTAAATGAAGTTGCTAAAAAAGTTGGATGGTGTATTAATTGCTTATGCAAAAACCATCGCGTCTTGCAATGCACCGCTTCCAACTGTCGAACATTTCATCAACAACACAACAGTTTGTTGCATTCTGATCAACCAAAAAGCTTCTAATAACAGTAAAAACACAAACACGGATACAACTAGTGCTAGCGTAAATTTAGATCAAAAATCCGTTAATATCACAGTTTTCGGGGTCGATGCTTTATCGACTAAAGTAAAAAGTTTTGCGCAAGCTACAGTCAAATCGCGTTTTAAAATTTCAAAAAACTGTTGATTTTTGACTTTGCCACAAATCAGCAGAACAATACTGTCGATTTAAATAAATCGTACTCAACTCGAAATACCAAAAAATATCGTGTTATATATTATTATTATAATATATATATATATATATATATATATAATATATATATATATATATAATAATATATACATATATATATATATATATATTAATATATATATATATATATATATATATATATATAATGTGATAATTTTCGACACAAAAAACAATTTATCAGTATGTTGGAAGTATCGGGTATGTGGTCTATATTAAAAATAAAAATCTTTGTTTTTTCTAAAACTCAATATTTCGCTCAAGAGCGAAATATTGAGTTTTAGAAAAAACAAAGATTTTATTTTAATATAGACCACATACCCGATACTTCCAACATACTGATATATATATATATATATATATATATATATATATATAATATAATATATATATATTATTATAAATAATTTATTTCGATTGCAAACTATTTCGTGCCATCTTTCATTAAATAGTCCAATGTCGGAGCTCAATTTAAATCGCTTCTGGGAACTAGAAGAAATTTCAAGCAGCAAAAGTTTGTCGTCGAAAGAAAAAGCATGCGAAGAGCACTACAAGTGTCACACTACTCAGGATGTTACTGCTAGATATATCGTAAGATTGAAATTAATGACAAAAAATCGAAATTAGGTCATTTTTACAATAGCGCGTTAAAACGTTTTTATTCGCTAGGAAATCGTTTTCCTAAAGATCCTGCTCTGCAGTTAGACTATTCCGCCTTTTTGACTGAGTGTAAGAAATTAACTCACATGTCATATACAGATAATGAAAACGACCAACAAATTGGATTTTATCTTCCTCATCACTCCTACAACTAAAACTCGCGTAGTTTTTGACAACTCTGCGAAAATGTCAATGGGAATATCGCTCAATGATACCTTAATTGTCAGTCCCAAGCTGCAGGAGGATTTATTTGTCATTCTTCTTCGTTATCATAAACATATATTTTTGTATTGACTGCCAACGCAGAGAAAATGTATCGCCAAACATTTAATACACGTACGGTACCGCGCCGGCTTCACATGTATTAACTCGAATCTTTAAACTATTAGCTCAAGATGATCCTCTCCCCACTATCGCAATAAACAAAAACATTTACGTCGATGATCTTCTCACTGGTGAAAAGACTCATGCAGAAGCATCCGCTTTGTGAGAAGATCTTATCGCATTGTTAAAAAAAGGGAAAATACTTTTGTGCGATTAATTTGTGCTTATTACACCCCTCAGCTTAATATCATTATCGCGATTAGAGTTATGCGGCGCTTTACTTCTACTTGGCTATATACGACTCTTTAGCATTCTGTTTTACTGGAGGTCAACGGTACTTATTTTTGGTCGGACTCGACAATCAGTTATTACTGGTAGGTCAGCCGTATCTTCTTCACACATTTGTCGTAGACCGGGTTGCAGAAATACGAAGATTGACTGGTCACTGTCATTGGCAGCATGTTTCCTCAGTGGACAACCCAGCAGATTATTTATCGCGCGGTCAGCTTCCCTCAGAATTGCTAGAAAATAATATTTGGCAAATCGATCTGTCTTGGGTATTGCGAACCAAATCCTCGTGACAGAAAGGAACTCTGGATCCCATCAAAATTCCCGAATTAAAATTAGTAAGGCCTCAATCAATAAATTGTATTTAAGTTTTGTTGACTAATAAAAATATTCTATAAAAATTCAGCATCATAAATTAGTTCGCGTAATTGCCCATGTTCATTGATTTATTTTTAAAGCAAGGTTAAAGGGAAAAGAAACGAGCTAAATGCTCAAGAGTTTGTCGATTTGCAATCTTTAACAACTCTTCTTCTTCACGTGCCATCTCCGCTACGAAGGTTGGCTATCATCACGGCAATTTTGACCCTGGAGGCTGCCGCTCGGAACAATTGTATGGAAGTGCAAGCAAACCACTCCCTGAGGTTTCTCAACCATGACATTCTTCTCCTACCTATGCTGCGCCTACCTTCAATCTTTCCTTGCATAATTAGTTGTAACAGTTGATATTTATTCCCACGTGTTTTAACACTTAATACGACCTCCTTTTGTTTGTTCATCCTTTGTTCATCCTTTAACAACTAAGATGACGCAATTTTCGGAATATATAAAAGAAATTAATTCTTTAAAAACAAGGATTTCGGTATTGGCAACGGTAAATTGGTGCCGTTGAATTCATTCTTATATAATAACGAAATCTTAAGAATTGGTGGAAGGCTTGATCAATCCTCGTTATTTGAGTCGTAAAAACGTCAAAAACTTTTGCTGTCAGCTAATCACTATATTATTCGATTAATTATAAATGAAGAATACGTAAAATTAAAACATGCTGGCCCCAAGCCTTCTTGTACTCCGTGCGTCAAATTTTGTTGGCCGTTAGACAGACGTAATGTAACTCGAAAAATTATCGAATCATCCCTTTATTTATTTTTAAATTACTTAACTTCACCCTTTTTTATTTTAATATTTGTTGTACTGATTTCAAAAATGTATACCACATGATGCTTAAAGTCATTAGTTTATGGGAAAATAAATACAAAATCACGAAAATGGGATTAAAAAAAGTAATTTTTACAATTATTACAAACATTTAGAATGAACATTTCACTCCCAAAACTGTTTAACATATTTATTCAAAATGACTGCCATTCAATTTTATACAATACTACAATATATTTTAAAATTCTTCTCTGACATTGCTTACCACGTCTGCATCGATTAATTGTCGATCTTCATCCTCTAGTCTTTGTTGTAAATCATCAGAGTTCTGGTTGAGTAGCATAAATTTCTGTTTTTAAATACCCCCATAAGTAGCAGTCTAGGGGTTTTAAATCCTATGAACTAGGTTACCTATCCATCATTTATCCTCTTCTACCTATCCAATGAACGTAAAAACTTTCGTTTAAAAAATGTCGCACGAGAAGTGCAAAGCGTTGAGGAAATTCATCATGTTGAAATACAACTAAATCTTTGAAAAAGTCATTATCATTTTCTACTATTTTTCTAATACGATCAACCACTTGCCTAAAAAACTCAAGATACGATACACCATTTAAGTTTTCAGTGATAAAAAAAGAGTCCGATAATGTGATCCCCTAAGAGACCGCACTATAAGTTTAACCTTTAAGAATGCTATGTACGAAATTCACACAGAATATGTGGATCACTTTCAGCCTAGTATCGGGAATCATGTGTGTTTACCAAGGCATTTATTGAAAATAAGCATTTATCGGAAAAGCAAATATTGCTTAACTATTGTGCATTATTAATGATACACTTAGTAATGATGCGTCATTAATGCACAAAATTCGAGACGATGATCAAAATCTTCTTTTTCATTCAAATCACCGATTTAATTTTGACTTGATGGAACTTAAATTTACGGAAGATTCCAAAGCCTGTAGAAGGTGAAACACCGATTGCTCTGCTTAGTAAAAGTAGTAAAAGTAAAAAAAAAAATAAGGATAATCAGGGGCGAGGGGTTGCATTTCCCAGCAAGTTTAAATATGACATAATGTCTCCCCCTTCAAATATTAATTGACATGTTTTTTGCGTTTTTCCTAAAAATTAGTTAAAAAAAAGTTTAAAATTATTAAGGTTGATAGTTTTATTTGAAAAGCACTGTATATATTTATACGAGTATATATCTTACTTTTTATCCTACACATTTGCCTCTTGACTTATTTTAAAAATAAAGAGTTGTTAAAAAATTAAAAAAAAATGTTTAATTTGTCAAAAATTAAACAAAGAGAAAAGCAGAAATAAATCACACCAATATCCAAAACTGATATATTGAGGCAAATTTTTAGACACACTATTTTTTTTTTCAAAACATTGTGGAATTCGAATAAGCGATTATCTTTAACTGTATAATTAATTATAAGTATTGTATTAGCATGTTATCTATTCTGATAATTAAATTAAGAATTTTCCTATATATACAGATTTCCCAGTTAAATCTTTATACAGTTTGTACGTGCTACGAACACTATGTTAAAAATATTAATTGTGGCGCTAGTCCTTTGGCTGGTGTCAGTTGCGATATTGGTAAGAGAATTATTAATATTATTTTAAGATACTTGCAAATATTTTATTCATATATTGCCATGTATAAAATACAACCGTTTGAAATTATTTATATTTTAATTAATTTTGGTATAATATTAAGTTAAAGTAGTATTTCTATTACTGATTCTAAAACCTAATTTTTTTCAGATGTTAACAATGATCAAAGTGACAGTTTTTTATCTGGTTCTGAAGATATTAAAAAAATACTTCCACACTTAACAGACTTAAGGCCAACAGAACCACCACCACCGTCTAGTAAACCGCCAGGACCACCGGAGCCTCCAAGTCCAAGTGATATACCAGAGTCCCCACCTAGCAAACGTCCAGGACCAACACAGCCACCACCAAGCACACGTCCAGGCCACCAGGACCCCCGCCTAGCAAACGTCCAGGACCACGGACCCACAAGCAAACGCCCGGCTCGACCTCCACCAAGCAGACGTCAAACACCAGGCCTCCACCAAGAAAGTCCGGGCCACCCGGACCTCCACCAGCAGGCGCCCTAGACCACCAGGCCCCCCACCAAGCAAACGCCTGGACCACCAGACCTCCACCAAGCAGACGTCCAAGACCACCAGGCCCTCCACCAAGCAAGCGTCCTGGACCACCTGGACCTCCACCAAGCAGACGTCCAGCCACTAGCCTCCACCACAACGTCCGGACCACCTGGACCTCCACCAAGCCGACGCCCAAGACCACCAGGCCCTCCACCAAGCAGACGTCCTGGGCCACCTGGACCACCACCAAGCAAACGTCCTGGGCCACCCGGACCCCCACCAAGCAGACGTCCAAGACCACCAGGCCCTCCACCAAGCAGACGTCCTGGCCACCTGGACCACCACCAAGCAACGTCCTGGCCACCGGACCCCACCAAGCAGACGCCCAAGACCACCAGGCCCTCCACCAAGCAAACGTCCTGGGCCACTGGACCTCCACCAAGCAAACGTCCTGGGCCACCCGGACCTCCACCAAGCAGACGTCCAAGACCACCAGGCCCTCCACCAAGCAGACGTCCTGGGCCACCTGGACCACCACCAAGCAAACGTCCTGGGCCACCGGACCTCCACCAAGCAGACGTCCAAGACCACCAGGCCTCCACCAAGCAAACGTCCTGGGCCACCTGGACCTCCACCAAGCAAACGTCCTGGACCACCCGGACCTCCACCAAGCAGACGTCCAAGGCCACCTGGCCCTCCACCAAGCAGACGTCCAAGACCACCAGGCCCTCCACCAAGCAAACGTCCCGGACCACCCGGTCCTCCACCAAGCAGACGTCCTAGACCACCAGGCCCTCCACCAGTAAACGTCCCGGGCCACCAGGACCTCCACCAAGCAGACGTCCTAGACCACCAGGCCCTCCACCAAGCAAGCGGCCTGGACCACCTGGACCTCCACCAAGCAGGCGTCCTAGTTCTTAGTTCCTAAATTCAACAAAATAAAAATTTAACTTATTAACACAAACTCGAAATGTTTTATTTCTAGTAACAAACATTAACATGTCAAAAAAGAAAACCCATAGTTTACACAGAAAGTAAAGAAATGAATGCAAAGAAAAGAAGAAAGACTTTTTACAATATAGAATACTACAAATACAACAGGCTTGCAACCACTTTAAACGAATCAGAAATGAAATGTATTCTTTAGTTAGACAAATAAAAGCGGAACACTGGCAGAGCTTCTCAAAACAGATGGAACACGACATCTACAGAATATAAAAATAAATCTGGAGAATAATCAGACGATCAAGAAAAGAATGAACGAACTTATAAAAATGAAACACATTTAGAAAGAATGTGGGCAAACTACTTTTAATCTGTATTTGCTAAAAGTCAGGATAATAAACCGCCAAACAGCAGAGGTGACGAAAAACGAAGAAATAAATGTTGAGGAGAAAGAGGTAAAGGAAGCATTATGTATAAGCGAATATACAGAGGCATTATAGTTGAAATCAAATTTTAACTGTTTTTCTTATATTTCGATATACTCTTTATGAGTTAAGAAACCAATTCGCCAAGGATTTTTTCTTAGATGAGGAGATATGTTGTGGTATTCAATTTTTTAATTCCCTATTTTCTCTCTTTACATCTTTAGACACAGATTAAAGCAAAAATCTGGATTTTTGTTTCGTCAATAGAAATCTTCTGATTTCTACTTTAGTGATATTTCTAAATTCTAATTTGCACTTTTCCCGTCATTTAGATTATATTCTTCGTATTAAGAGTCGTATATATTCCATAGACATAGCATGTCTGTAACCTATTCCAAGCCACAAAATATATGTCAGTGGAAAATGCGTCCTGGCATGTTAGTTTTCGCTTAAATGGAAGTGGAATTCTTTTTATATTATCTTTTATCTAATTAAAGACATGTTTTAGTCCAAAACTTTGTATTATTTTAATATATTGGGATAAGTTAATAATTTATTTATATTTAATATTTCACCAATATCCAATATCTTTTTTGCTAATTTCTTATATTATTTTTTTGACATAATCAAGCCCCGTCTCTTTTCAACCTTACTTGGGTGGATGTAGCTAGGATCTTTATTAAATTTAACTAATTTAATTTAATATTAATTATATTTATCTAATCCATGCCATTTGTTATATTTGTTTGTATATTTTATTAATATTCTATAAAAACATGACAAGGAAGTGTTTAACACTAATGCTGTTGTGCTACAAGTTTCTTATTTTAGTTTTTTTTGCCTTTTCTCACTATGTGGTACCGCAGGGATTAAGGGGGGTTGGAAATTTTTTCTTTTTTAATTGTTTTATTTTGGTATAATTCTTCAAGATTATCGAGTTAACAATTTCAGAGTGATCGGAGCAAAATTGATAGTGTTATTGGCATTTAGAAGTAGGTGAGTAGAGTGAGTGATGTGACTAAGGTGAGTGAGTAAGGTGAGTGAGTGGAGTGAGTGAATGAGGTAAGCGAGTGAGTGGGGTGAGAGATTGAGGTGAGTGATTAAGGTGAGTGAGAGTGTTAGGTGGGTGAGTGAGGTGAGTGAGTGAGGTGACTGCGCTTGATGTGTGAATAAAAAGGTATAGTTCATCTAAAGCAGGAGCAAAACGATGCTTTAGATATTTTAGCAGGAAGCACGTTAATATGGTCTAGAATAAACGATACTTTGTAAGTATAAACAAATAAGCTTTTTGTTAAACCTGTTTTTCTCGGAATAATATTTTTTAAGGCGGTGTTCACTATATCTCAAAAACTTCTTGACTGATCCCTCTCAAATTCTGAACAATTGTGCACTCGAATTCGTCTTTTTTTTACTTCTAAAATTTGGAACAGCGATAAAATGAACAATATCTCGACGCTACGACCTAGGGAAACTCATAAATTAACGAAATTTGTTTTAGCTTTTGTCAACAGGTGATGAAGTTACGATGAATCCCGCAAAGTAACTTTTTTTCATCTTGGAAAATTAACTGTCATTTTCTTAATTCTTTATGTTTTTGTAGCAAAATTTTGGATACTAATTTTAACACGTTGTTATATATTGTACTAATATTTATAAACGAATTTACGTTAAACAAAAAAAATCTTAAAAATATGATTAAAATACTGAAAATAACCCCGACTCCCCTTAATAGATTGCAGTAGCATGGCTACTACTACGAGAAACTCAACAGCTGTCTGAAATAACATGCATGTCATACATGCACACCTTCAGTCACCTTTAAACCAGTATCTGATGCCATCAACCAAGCTAACTACGTTCAATAAGTGATCCATCTGCACGAAACGAAGCCAACAGTATATGCAACAATAATGCCACGGTTTTACGGCTGTACGCTATTGTACGGCTTTAGGCAGGATTTTCATTTTTTTATTACTATTAAAATTTTATTTTATTCTTAATGTACAATACATATGTATGATTAGTTACTATTCTCTTTTACTGTCCCACCCAAACTTATGTTTCAGATTTGCATTTAAGATCAGACGAACTTGCACCCATGAGACTGAGCTAGACGAAGCCTTAAACAGTTGGTTCTCAACATTAGTGTCAGTTATATTTTTATACTTTCTCAAAAAAGGCGTCAACGACCCGGAAATTTACTGTTAAAATGTGAAAATATATGGCCTGGAATGGCGTAATTCTAATTTTCGAATATTGAATACCTATTAACCATTTCATTACTGATTTCATTGTAGCGAAATAAAACAGTTTAAACTTTAATGATATTCGTTGACACCTGGAGACCTAACAAAGCGATTGAATTTTTTTTACATTATTGCGTGTCCTTGTATCCTTAGAAAGGACATGGGACATATATGTCCCATATTAGTGTTGAATGGTGGGATAAATAAATCCCATCAGTAAAGAAACAAACTTTCACAAACAAATATTCAAAATGAAAAAAAGGTACATTACACAAAAAACATTACTTTTTATGAATGATGTGGTAAAAAACAATTTTTGCATAGAGGCACATTGCACCTGTACAATAGTCGTAGTTCGAATTCTTATTATTTTTGAACATCTAAAGCACCTCTCCTAGTAGGTATTTGTTGTGGCAAATGGTCTCCAACATTGATCATATGTTTCTGTCGTTTATATATTCTTCCAGAACGGCCACTTATTCGTCTTTTTACATTTGATTTCGATCTTCCTAATTCAATTAGCTATTCTGCTAGTGGCACCAGAAAATTCAAAAGTTAAAATTTCGTATTATCTTTTTGTACACTTCTTTTATGCAAATCCTTGTAAATAATCCAAGAATTTACAATAGCATACATGACTAATCTAAAAAAAACTTTTCTCCACTATTTCGCAGATTTTCGGTTCATGTCATATGTGCTAACGTTTTGATCGGCGAGATATACTCCTCCCATAAAATTATTGCTTCTGGACAAGTGAACTCAGATTTTTCTCCAGTTTTCAGCTTTCTATTGATTTCCAACAGTTGTAGTGAGAGAATTGGACATCAGCATAACTTCCTTCGTGTCTTTTCATTTAGTTGCTAAAATTCCTTCGGATGAAACTAAAAACTCCATGTCACCTCTTAATATTTTGTTATTATCAATATTAGCTACATTTACCCAATTGGCCATATAGGTTTCTAGCATGGAAAATTCAGTTAAGTAGGTAGGTTAAGTAGGTTGAACGAAGTGAAAAATCTATCAAAGCATAGACACACATCTGGTGACCGTATGGTGTTGGCTAGAGTTTCAACAACTTGTTCTTCTAGAGTTTCAGTAGTTGGTGTGAATTCTCTTCCCGTGTAAAAATTGAAATCGTATATATATCCTGTAAAATAATCACTTCGTTGCCACATTTTTATACCTCTTTTTACTGCCTTCATAGGAAGATACTGCTTCAAGGCAGATCTTTCTTTGAACTTAGTCATTGATTCGTCAATGGACTGATGGGAACTATCAGTCCTCGCTTTTACAACAATTTGTTTCAAACAAAAAACCACTTCATCGATATAGTATGTTTTTGATGTATTACCATTTCTTTCAGGATTATTGTAGTAGGACTTAGATAGCAGGA